TCAAGTCAATTCTCCCTGGGTGATAGCGCTCCAGGAAGTCAACAAGGTAACAGTTGAGCAGATGAACCGTTCGTTGGGCGGTAGATACTGCTGGACAGTTAAACGTGGGAACAATTTCCGACACTCCGTCGCCATCGGGGTTCTGAAACACGTCCCGTTTCGGTTTATCGACCTTGGCTCAGAGCTTCCCATTTTGGAAGTTTGCTTGAAGGAACCAGCCAACATCGCAATAGCATGCGCATACCTGCCTTGTGGGAGATTATCAAACCTCAACGGTCAAATAGACAGCATCTTCGATAACCTACCTGAACCGCGTATATTTTTGGGTGACTTGAACGCGCACCACTCTAGCTGGGGCTGCCCCCGGTTCGACTCGAGGGGTTCCACACTGGTAGACAAGTTCGAAAGGGAGGATATGATCATCCTTAATGACGGATCGCCGACCTTTTTCAATGGACGGCACACCACGGCGATCGATGTCACTGCTGTTAGTCGTTCCCTCGCTGGAAGAATGCAGTGGAGCGTCAATCCGGACCTCTACGGTAGCGATCATTACCCGGTTCAGGTGCAACTCTTTGCCGTCGCTATACCGGCAGAAACGCGGAGACCTCGGTGGCGCTATGACGAAGCCAATTGGGAGAGTTACGGTGAAACCTTCCAGTCGCTCCTTCTACAACGTTACACTGACAGCATCGAGAGTCTCACTGAAGCAATAAACGCAGCTGCGTCAGCAACCATCCCGAAAACCAGCAGCATTCCGGGCGTAAAGCGCTTAGATGGTGGAACGAGGAAACGAAGAAGGCAGTTAAGGCTCGGCGAAAAGCCCTTCGACGAGTCAAACGGCTTCCCATAGATGATCCGGATAGGGAAAACACGCTCTGTATCTATCGAGAACGGCATAACCAGTGTCGCCAATTGGTCAGAGATGCCAAACGATCCAGCTGGACGGACTTCCTCGAAAGCATAAATGCCTCACTGGGGTAAGGTCAACGCCCTCAGTGGCAAGCGGCGTACAGCCACACTGCATATACAGGTAGACGGCGCTGCAGTCTCCGACCCCGGAATCGTTGCAGATAAGCTTGGCGACTATTTCGCTGACCTCTCTGCGATTTCCAAGTACGAGGCGACCTTTCAACGGCTAGCAAACCCATCGACATCGTCCGTAAGCAAATTTCGAGTTTCTCCGGACACGAACAACCACGTTACAACCTGGCAGGAGCTGCAGTTCGCGCTTAGTAGAAGCAACGGGAAATCAGCCGGCCCAGACGAGATCGGCTACCCGCTGCTCAAGAACCTGCCTATCCCGGGTAAAGTAAAAATGCTGGAACTCTTCAACCAGCTTTGGCAGACAGACTCGTATCCAGAGCATTGGAGGGAGAGCTTGGTTGTCCCCATCCCCAAAGAAAACGAGCCGACACGGGATGTGGCGAAGTTCCAACCCATTGCGCTCACCTGTTGCATGGCAAAGGTGTTCGAGCGGATGGTCAACCGACGACTGAAGCAGTTTCTCGAGTCTGGCGGCTTTCTAGACCATCGCCAACACGCATTCCGGCAAGGCCACGGTACATCCACGTATTTTGCGACGCTAGGAGAGCTCCTCGAGGATGCCAAGGATTATGGTCTCCATACGGAGTTGGTTTTCCTGGACATTGCGAAAGCCTTCAACCGTACATGAACGCCCGCGGTACTGAAGCAACTCGTCAGCTGGGGCCTTAGCGGCCATATCATCCATTTCGTCCAAAATTTCCTGACTGGCAGATCCTTCCGAGTCTCGGTAGGTAATACCAAATCCCGCACTTTCTGCCGGAAACCAGGAAACCGGCGTTCTCCAAGGTTTAGTGATCGCTGTCACTTTGTTCCTGGTAGCCATGAACAGCGGTTACCAGCGAACATCTACATTTTCGTGTACGCAGACGACGTGCCAATCGTAGCCACAGGTCAAACTCCGGGACGAACGAGGATTAGAGCCCAAGCAGGGGTTTCCGCCGTAGCCAGATGGGCCGCTTCGAAAGGTTTTCAACTGTCTGCTGGAAAGAGCGCTAGGTGCCACGTTTGCCAGTACCGACATCGGGTATGCGGACCTTCCATAAAGATCGGTAATCAAGCTATCCCATTGAAGAAAACTGTGAAACTGCTGGGGGTTGTCATTGACCGGTCGCTGAGTATTGGCCAGCACCTTCAAGGGGTCAAGGCCAGCTGTCGCAGCAGGACAACAACAGAGAAGTACGTTTTCGTGTTGCCCGGGCCATCGTAGACAGCCGGCTGATGTATGGACTGGAGCTGACCTGCATCGCTACCGAAAAGGCAATACAAATACTCGCTCCGGTGTACAATAGCTACACGCGCATCATCTCCGGTCTCCTACCCTTGACGCCAGCCGATGCCAGCTGTGTCGAAGCCGGCACTCTCTCTTTCCGATACCGCATCTACGCAGCCATTGCCAACAAAGCCGCTGCATTTTCAGCAAATACCGCCGAAAACGACAGAATCTGCCTCCTCAGCGAGGGGGACATAGTTCTCCGTACAATCGCCAACGCAGAGCTCGCCCCAGTGGCCAAGATTCACTGATACGGAGATAAGAGTTGGCAATCTCCCGCACCAAACATCGACAGCCGGATAAAGGAGAAGTTCAGAGCCGTATGCTGTTTACTGTGTTATTGTACTAGCTATTTATATGTTTAGCTAAGTAGACTATAAAAGGTTGAAGTAGCATGATACTCAAGCAATGTGGCTGGGGGACCTCTCTCTAAGGCTTCCCACCCTTTACGGAGATGAACTACACGCTAACTTCAGCTTACTCACCGGGTGAGTCGAACGTAATCACTTTCGTCCGATGTATCGAGTTGTCAAAAACTGAGTAAACGAGAAATGTCAAACTGAGTTGAAGTCACTCAGTCAGCAAAATCCTGGACTTAGAAACAATGTCAACCATGTTGGAGGAAACTTCATAGGAAAAGTTACTCAAAACCGGCTGAAATGCCTTCAGGTAAGAAGGAATTGCTTAGGGAAACGGTGTTGAACATTTACTGCTCCGGTAGAATGAATCCGGAGCAGGAAATTTCCATTTCCTTAAATAAAAATCAAAACAAAAACACTCCCCGCAACTGAAAATATCGCTGAGTGGATTTGACTCTGTCTACGTGAGAACGTAGTTTACTCAAAAGTGAGTCAACATAAGGCTACTCAATTTTGAGTAGCCCTACTTGCCGCTGAGAAAATCCACACTTCTATCACCGAGGCTCTTAGTGTGGACGTGGAATCGCCAACTAGAAATGTCCGGTTCATCGCTGTTTACTGCCCTCGGCAGTGTGCCGCCAACAACGGATTAGCAAGCAAATTCAAGAACGACCTGACCGCCACTGTGGTGTAGTGGTAAGCGTGATTACCTCTCACCCCAGCAGGCCTGGGTTCAATCCCAGTCGGCGCCGCCGGGATGTTCTGAGCAGGGGTTGAAACAGTTGACGTTTTTTACTACACTCGCTCCGTTGTCGTGCGCGACAGTCTGTTTGTATTCGAACACTCATGCTCTACCGTCGTCTCTCTCACACAACACGAGCGGTAGAATAACATACGAGCTAAAAGAAAATTATCAAAATATCTATCATATGACATGTGTGATTTCGTTGTAATTCCTCAATTTGGTGTAAATCAAACCATTTCTGATCAGAAATATTATTACTAGGACATCATTGCTTGCTATTTTCAGAATCACACAAGCACACCATCAGCAGCTCTTATTATGAGAAAAACTAAAATACATACATTCGTGACGGTCTTCGGCGACGGTGTCGTATGACAGAGCCTTTCATACGACATTTTAGTTTGGTACACGGCGAATGACAACGACCCAAATTTGAGTTTAGTTCACTCATAATCGCCAAAAGTGCAGGAACTCAGCGATGAGTTAATTTGTCTCATGTTTTCCCAGGATTTTCCAGGGAAAAATTCCCGAATTTGAGAAAAGTAAAGATTGGATTCTCTCAGTCTATTGGTACTACTCCGAGACTGAATAAAATTTTCGTCAATTTCCTCATTTTCCGGCAGATTTTTTAGGTTTTCCACAGGAAACCATGAGACAAATTTTGCTCATCGCTGAGTTCCTGCACTTTTGGCGATTATGAGTGAACTAAACTCAAATTTGAGTCGTTCTCATTCGCCGTGTACTGTACTATGATAGCTTGTTTTGCAAGTGTCGGAGGCAAAGGCAGTCAATTATCACAGAAAATGTGTCGACTACCGTGACCGCTTACAAGACTGGTTCTGAGGCATAACATCCCTGATCACGCCTTCCTTCGGAAGGGAAGTAAACCCGAGTTGGAGGGTCGATAGGGGTAGGGTCCAGGTGTGGGAACTGCCTCCCTGGCGTCGGTAGCATTGGTGCTCAGCACGGAAAACAAGATCGACGGAAAACAAATTTAGGAAAAAAGTATCAAACATTTCAGGAAAATTTGCGTAGCTCCAAGAACATCATTAGAAAAATAGCCCCAGAGAATTACTAGAGAAACTATGGAACTATGCAAACCTCAATTAAATTACTGTTAATAAATCGGTGACTCATTCGTGCTGGGCTGTTGAACCTCTGGTCAGCCTCGTGCATGAGATCAACAAAAACCCCAGCACCGGTGCAAGTGCCACACCAATAATGACAAAACCGACTGCTATTTTCATACAAAAGCCGGCGAATAAACAAGATAAAAAAATACGTTGTTTACCAATTGTCTGCTTCACAAGAAGAGGAGAATCGCCTCGCAACAAGTAGAAAAGATAGGATACACTTGTTCATGGTAAATAATAACGATGATAATAACGAAATCTCAGTTATGGGGGGTGGGCGGTCGGTAGAGAAAGGCATTTACTGGGTTGGGTGATTAGACTTTCCCGTCGCCGTATCGGTGTAATATGCAACGTCTGGTTCGGGCAGCCAGACGTCGAAACATCATTACACATTTCCAAGTACCTACTCCTCATTTTGCATTGTTTTCTAATTTGAGCAAACTCACCATAATGGCTATGTAGGATCGATACTCGAACGGCAGCGGTCCATCGCAGTGCATCACAAAGTTCTGCGTGTTGAGATAGTGCTCCAAGTAGCGCGGATGATACGCTATCACCTTTGTGACATGGTCCAGTTCGGTGTTGTCCATCAGTGAGTTTTTTGACCCGTACTGCAAATGGAAAGAAACAAGAAAAGAGTGGGATTGTTACTGATTTGTGTGTTTATTATTATCAGCCCGTTCGCAAGTCGTCCGTGTGTGTCGGTTTCGGTGTCGATGGGTGATAATTCTAGAACAATAAAACTGCACAAGAAACGTGAACCGGGCACTGAGCCCGAGAGTACAAGAATGATTAGCCGCACTGACCGTCGTCGCCAGAGCGGTGATTAGCGATTGTGGCGGTAGAATGGCCAATTTGTGCTATAATTTCATACAATAAAGATTCTTATTGACCTCATTCATATGCCTTGCGGAATCGACAGATTGGTTCATTTGATTCTGACATATTACAAATATTGCAGTAAGGGTCCATCTTGATAACAAACTTGTAGGCAATATTTGACTAAAATGACTGGTGTGTGAGGTGATTCCAATCACATTATCCGTTTCAAGCTATAGGTAATCGAATGACATACTTTAAAAAAATCACAATTTTTTGTGTAAATACAGAAATTTTTAAAATATGTCTATATGGACCATAGCATGTTATAATTACAAATGGCATCAGGAGTCCACATCGTGCTCTCTTGCCGTGCGGATCTATTTGCTTTTTGCTGAAGGAAGTGTTACTACTACCTAAAGCTACAACAAATTTAAACAGCACTTTTCAGTGCTCAACCTGAAAAAACTTCTACCTTGTTCAACTTTTATTCCTCATCGATCTTTGTTTGGACCCTACCCGAGGTAATCCTTCTTGGATATGGATTTGGAAAATTCCTCTTCGATCCTTCAGATTCTTATAGTAATCTGCTTGGAAGTCGATTTGGATAAAAATTTCTGCCGCCATGGCGACAAATCGCAAAAGAAAAGGGCAAGCTCTTGATCCCTCTTCTGATGGAATTAATTTGAGCAATCAATTTGATTGATTCACGGATGATGAGAATGATCCATCATCCAAGAAAAATTCTAGTAAACTTTCCCGGCTTAATGCCAAGAAGGAAAAGATTCCCCCTATTGTGATAACCACTTCCGATTTCCATGCTCTTCGCATGGAACTTTTGAACTTCGTGAAAGTTATGTTTTCACTACAAATTGGACGTCGGGGTGAATGCCGTGTATTGGCTGAAACCTTGGACGGATTTAAATGTCTTCTCAAGTATCTTACTGAGAAGCAGCACAATTTTTTTACTTACGACACCAAAACTGAACGTGTGTTCAAGGTTGTCATGAAAGGACTGCCCAGTGGTGAATTCCTGGATCAGATCAAAGATGAACTGGCAAAATTAGTTGGAGTTGTGCCCAGCGTTGCCAGATATACCGATTTATCGGTATTTATACCGATTTCCGAACTAGATACCGATATACAGATAAGGTTCCTCAGAATACCGATTTTTGAGGTTTTATACCGCTTTATACCGATTTATTTAAATAATCAAAATGATTATTGCCTGCCTGCTCTCGAATTTCGGAGAAAATTATTGAGAAAGACTTGTATGTTTTCAAGTATCTCAAATTTTTTGAACCTTTAAAATAAAAAAAAAATCATTTTCAAAAATGTATTATGGATACTCTTTCGATTAATGTTTCAATTTCCTCACCGCTGTTGGCTACCCATGAATCGATAAACAGTCGATGGATCTTTCTGGTAATTCCTGGGGAGTCGGGAAATACTTTTTAAACATTACGTCTTGGATTTTCTTCCAAATTTCCTTACATCGTAAATTATTTTACGATTCCTCTTGAAAACTTATTTTGACTTCCCTTGGAAGCTTCTTCAGCCTTCGCTCGAATGATTCTTCCATCTTCTCCCGCCAGTTTTTCAACTTTCCCGGAACTTCAGAGATGCTTCCAGATTTTGATTGCGGATCCACACTAGCTGAAGGAACTTTTAAAAAGTTCTGAAACTCCGGAAAAGTCCAGACTTTTGAGTAAGTTTCGATAAATTGAAGAATGTTTCAATAACTTCTGTTAAAATTCTAAATCCCGGTCCAGCGAACTCCAGGAAACATCATAAATATTTTGGATACTGCACAAGTCCATAGAAATTCTGGAAAATTTAAGGTTTTCAGGACAGTTCCATTAGTTTCAAGAGAATTGAGAGAACTTTAGGAAGCTCCGAGAACATCAGGACAGATCAATAAATTTAAATGAAATCGCTGAAATTTTAAAGGAGTTCAGAGAAACTCAGGCAATTTCCGAAAACTTCAGCAATGTTCCGAGGGGTTCATGCAAATTTAAGAAACGTTAGGGAAGTAACATGAACATTAGTGCATTGTGAGAACATTTTATGGGAAGTTCAGTGCTTATTAATGACAGTGTCGATAACTTTTAAAAATTAGGAAAATCGGGAAGATCAGAGAACTTCAATGCTGATGTCAAAATAAATTCAAGAAAATTTTGCGCTTTAGAAATTTCGTAATCTTCAAGAAAGTCTAGAGACCTTCAAAGTTGATTAGATACATTCCGGTAGTCTCATTATAATTAGGGAAGTTCCAAGTATTTCAAAAATGATCAGAGTACTCCAAAACAGCCTAAAATCCCTAAGTACATTTCAGGAATGTTCCAATAACTTCGGGGTCTTCAGGGATGTTTATGACCATTTGGAACACTTTCTGGATCATTAGAACAGGAGCTATTTCTTCCGGAATTATCTCCTTGTTTCTTTCGACTGCTCCGTAAGCGCTCTGGCTTCCGACTTCTCCAGATTTTTTTTCCAATCTACCTTAGGAAGTTTCTGCCAGCGTCTCCAGGAAGTTTGTTCCATCTTCCCCTGGAAGTTCAATTAAATTCTCCCAGAAATTTCTTTCGTCTAGTTCTGGAATTTTGTCCAGTTGGTTTTTTTGACCTCTATTCGAAGGTTTTTCCAAGCTTCTTCTGGCTTCCCCTGGAAATGACTACTTCTGGAATTTACTTCCGATTTCCGAAACTTTTCTGCCTTCCTGTAAATCACATCTGATTTTTTTCTGAAAGTTTCTTTAAATTTTCGACAGAAGTTTCTCAATTTATGTCTTGGAAGTTCCGCGGATGTTTTTTCCGACTTCTCTCAGAACTTTCCTCAAATTTCTTCCAGGAGAGCTTCTTTCTTCTTTCGCTGGATGTTGTTTTCAGCTTCCTCTAATTCAAACATTCCCCGGAGTTTTCTTCCGAAATTTTCCGATCATAGTCCAAAAGTTAAAATTTTCACTTTCAAAAACGGCGAAAATATAAAATTAATTGAAATAGTAAATACCGATAAATACCGATTTTTTAAAACCTTTGATACCGATAAGCTTGAAAACATTCTGGCAACGCTGGTTGTGCCACTCCAAGTAATCAAAATTAAAATGAAATCCCGTCCTGGCGATTCGCGCAACGGGATTTCTAATGATTTTTATTTAGTTCACTTCAAATCTAGTGAACTAAACAACCTTAAGGCCTTAGAAAAAGCTAGCCTTATGCTCCATGTCCGAGTGAAGTGGGAACACTTCAGGAAGACTGGAGGAAATTTCCAAAACCTCACTCAGTGCCGGAAGTGCCAGGGATGGGGTCACGGAACTAAAAATTGCTACATGCCAGCTAAATGCATGAATTGTGGTGATTCCTCTCACGCAAAGGACGACTGTCCTGTGAAGGAACATCCTAAGAAATTTAAATGTTCAAATTGTGGTGAAAACCACAAATCCAATTTTTGGGAATGTAAGACTCGCAAAGCGATCCTACAATCTCGTTCTAAGCGACAGGTAGGAAACGCTCCACGTTTCCGACCAGGTACAAATTCCTCTGCTGTTAACAACAGTCAGCGAGGAACAAATTCTAAATTCGTACCCGTAGGTACATATATCATACCTGCTTCAAATTTTTCATCTATACCTACTCCCCTCGCTGCTAACAATGTTCAGCGAGTAGATGGAGCTACCTTTGCTGCTATTGCAGCGGGTATAAATCAAAATACTAACCAACGCAATTCTAACGGAAATTTTGACAATTTTGACTAAGGAAGCATTACTGCCCCTAAAATGGAATTTTTACAAAAATCATTATTTGACATGATTTCTGATATGCTTAAATCTAACTCCATGTTTGATGCTATTCAAACTGGAGTAAAATTTGCAAACAACATTGTCATGACTTTAAAATTCAGTAATGGATTTTAAAGCATTAAATATTGTAAATTGGAATGCTCGATCTCTTAAAGATAATGAAGACGACCTATTTAACTTTTTGAGAGTTCTTAACGTGCATATTGCCGTTATAACTGAAACGTTCCTTAAACCTGACCATAAGGTTAAGAAGGACGCAAATTATTTCATTTATAGAAATGATCGTCTTGATGGACTCTGTGGTGGCGTTGCCATCATTGTTCATAGACGAATCAAACATAAAATTCTTTCTTCATTTGAAACCAAAGTTTTTGAAACTTTGGGAGTTTCTGTTGAAACAAAATTTGGACAACTTACGTTTATAGCTGCCTATTTGCCATTCCAATGCGTAGGCCAGAAAAAGAATTTTCTCAAGGGTGACCTTCAGAAACTTACCCGTCATAGGTTTAAATTCTTCATTATTGGTGATTTTAATGCAAAACACCGCTCATGGAATAATGCTCAAAGCAATTCCAATGGTAATATTCTGTTTGATGATTGTTCTGCAGGTTATTACACTATTCAATATCCAAACAGCCCAACATGCTTTTCTTCAGCAAGAAATCCCTCAACTATTGATTTGGTCTTAACTGATTTATGTCAACTTTGTAGCCAATTGGTTACCCATGCTGACTTCGGTTCTGATCACCTTCCAGTAACTTTTGAAATATCCCAAGAAATAATTTGTAATCCCAACAGCTCTACTTTCAATTATCATAGAGCTGATTGGGAGCAGTATCGAACATTTATGGAATATAACTTCGATCCAAACATTCCTTTGCAAACCAAAGATGAAATTAATTATGCTCTTGAATCTCTGACTACTTCTATAGTTGAAGCAAGAGCTGCCTCAGTACCAAAATGCGAGGTTAAATTCGATTCAATTCTAATAGA